GATGAGCATCCCCTCAATTATTTCATCCAATTTGTTTATAAAGACATTGAACAACAACGGGCCCAGGACAGAACCCTGCAGCACCCCACTTGTCCCTTTTTTCCAGGATGGCGAGGAACCATTAATAGTACTCTTTGGGTTCAGCTAGTCAACAGCTACAAATCCACCTAACCTACCTTGTTTAACACACATTTTACCTCGCAAGAATATCAGACCTGTTTGCGAGGTCTGGTCGCAAGCTCCCAGGATCTGCACTGAGCTAAGTTTGACTGCTGCTGGTTGCTAACTCCTCCCTCAGCCCGGCTTTCTCTCAGCTGTAACTCCTCCCCATCAGATCCTGTGTCCCCACAAAGCAATCAACCACACACACCCTCAGGCTCCAAAAGACACACGCTCACTCTCTTCAGTCTCCCCCAGCAAACCTTGTCCTTGTTTGCAAGGTCTAGTCACAAGCTCCCAGGTCTGAGCTGGTTGCTCCAGTACATGCCTTTTACCAGCCTCTTTTGCTTCAGACCAGTACTCCCATGCAATGTTTTACTGCCTGTGAATCTTTTCCTGACTGCTGTATGGAAAAGCACATAAAACTGACTTTTGAAACTTTTAAAAGGGGACAATTTGGGGGTTCACTGGATTAGCACATTTAAAAGGTTTTACAGCCTATATTTCCATGATTTTCTTTGCTGCATGTTTTGCAATGCTAAATCTCTGCTGGAGTTCTCTCACCAAAGAGTACTTGCCTCAAACTTGAGTCTTAGCTGCCAGGATTCCAACATTTACATATTCCTTTCTTTAAGCCTCCTTGTTTTTGTCTTTTTCATTTGATCTACAGTCTATTCCTGCCCCTCTTTTTTGCCCATTGCCCCTTCCTCACCGCTCTGCCCTTCCATTGCTTCCATACCACAATAGAGCCTCACTTCTAATTCTTGCAATCTTATAGATAAGCTGTCCTCCCTCCCTCTCTTTAACTTCGATTTTAGCTGTTTTTATGAAGAAGTGACTTGGAATTTATGAAAGGCTCTCTTTCATGGGCTCTTACATATACACTCCATCTTCATGTGAGTGTGTGTGTGTGTGTGTGTGTGTGTGTAAACCAGAGTTCTCTTAATGATTTGACATCTTCATAACAGGAATAAGAAATAAGAGGAGAGGTTCTCTTGTGGATCAGGAATTGGTTAAGTAGCAGGAAGCAGAGAACCTCCTCCTCGCTCTGCACACCAACCCGTGGCTCCTCCTCAAGCTTGGCTTGCTTTATGTTGGAGTGACCCAAATGTTGTGATGGTACCCCAGCTTCCTTTTTGTCTTTCTTTTCTGTCTCCTCCTCCTAACCCTCTCTGCTCTTCTAAGTCTTCTTGTTCTTCTGACCATATCATCAATCATACCCCTCCCTGTCAATCCATTCCATTCCCTCTTATGCTTCTTGCAAAGATAGGCTGATCCCCTTCATCAGCCCGATAACTTATTGGGCAGCAGACATAAGGAAGTCAAGTGGGTTACTGAAGTAATCTCTTTGCAGAAATGGAAGTCAGGCTAGAGCATTCCATCTCTTCCCACTTCTCTCTCTTTCATGATAGGCAAAGAAACTGCTCCAAGAAAGCCAAGCCAGGCAGCAGGTGCCTGAGCTGCTGTCTTTGCTGGATCGCTCTCAAAAAGCCAGAACTCCAAAGAGCATTTGCCAACCCTACCCAACTGGCTCATCTGAGTTGCTCCCCCCCCAAAAAAAAACAAAGCACAATCCAGGAACTGCTGTTACAGAAGAAGACATGCAAGGCTTTAGGGGGCACCGCAGGCTTAGCATTCTCAGTGACTCCAACCTCTCCTTGTCACTCTCAGGAGCTTCCCCAAAAATGTACCTTGGGGTGCTGCATCAAAGAGACAGAAGAGACTGGGGCTTTTCCTTCCCCCTGCCATGCTTTAAGCTCTACACTGGATGCAGAGCAGCTGACTCACTGGGCCTCTGAAGCAAAGCAAAACTCCAACCTGAGGATCACATTTGCCATTTCAGCTTATGCACTGTGATGCCTAATGAGATTTCCTGAATGCCTTTGGTTGTTTATCTCATATGTTTGCACAATAATTTAGAATGGTGATACATTAAGCAGACATCAAAGGAAATGTATGGCAGTCAGATCTGTAGGTGGCAGTTACATGGCTAAGAGAGTGAAGAGGCTCAGGAATTCACATATCCTGCCTCAGAATGGATCACAAGGATGTCCATCTGCATCCAAGCAGAACCTGTTGCTTATCAACCCTCCAGGCAGGTTGCTGGTGATCTAAGACTCCTTTATGTAATGCCTTCTCCCCAGAGATTACATTTTGCATTACAATTTATTTGTTCTCATGAGTTTTCTGAAGGTGGGTTGCTTTTATGGGATGATATTTATTGGGTTTTGTATATGCAAACCAGCCTTGCTGGGCTGGACAGCCCTTTTCTACAGAGGAAGTCCTTCCCCCCAAGGACTGGGTCTCTATTTCCCCTGTATTTTCATGAAATAGGCTTTTCACCAGGATTTAGTTGGAAGCCAGTGGCCTCCTTTGGGGGTGGGAAGCAATATCCATCTTGATCAGGGCTGTCCAACTTTTCATACTAAGTGGGCCACAAAAATACTTCAACACAAAACCTGCAGGCCACACACTGCCTTGTGTGGGAGGGGGGAATGAAGTCAAAATTTGACACCCACAAGCCTGCCTTCCCAAAACTGGCTAAGTGAGGTGCTGGGCTTTGGGGAGGAGGCATGAGGCTCTAGCAGGGTACCAGATCCTGCCCACCTTCTTCCCAAAGCTGGGAAGGTGCTAAGTAGGCTCTGGGAAGGAAGGAGGAGGACTCTGTCAGAGCCCTCATACCTTCTTCCCAAAGCCCAGCACCTCACCTTGCTTATCTGACTTTGGGAGGGCTGAGGGGGAAGGGGTCAAATGTTGCTGAGGGCCACCCCAAAAAAAAGGCCTCAAGGGCCACATTTTGGACCACCCTGATCTACATGGTCTATTAAAATAGAATGCATATCCCATGTGCCTCCCTCCAAATGAATCATTCTACAATCAGAGAGAGAGGGAGAGGGAGAATAAGGATGCTAGAGAATAAGGATGCTGACATTCTAATCCATTCTATTTTGTGCCAGATTGTGGATGCACATTTCAGGGTGAAAATAATGATTGCAGTGTGGATGAGAAGCAAGACTCCCATTTGAAAGAATGTGCCAATGTGTCTCTGATTAACACCTGTGCTTCCTAATCCAGCAAGCACTGCAGGTGTAGAGAGCACCTTTCATCTATGGAGCTTTCTGCACAGGATGAAGGAGACTCTGGTCTATCTGCAAGCCACCAGTCTGAGTTTGTGGCAAACATTATTTCCAGATATTTTAAGACCCAAAACTTCCCATGAGAGGTCCAGGTGAGGTCTCTCAAGCTTTTGTCCTACTCAGTCATTGCCTTGGGCAGGCGCACACCCTGCCTGCATCAACTGTGCAGTTTTGAAAATAAATCAGTTATGAATTTATGCCATTCCCAAGGACAACTTCTTTCAGGCTCTTTTAACTCTGCTAAACCTGCTGCCTCAAGATGCTCTTCCTTGACATTCATTTTGCTCTCTACATCTGATTAAGTTTGGCACATCGAGAGGTGTGGGTTCAAGATTAGCGTTTCTTTAAAAACACAGTTCAAGCATGCAGTTCTGGCAGGACAATGTGAACCCAAAAGGAAAGTGCCATGGAAGGAAAGAGAAGCGTAGCAAGGAAAGGGTGAATCTAGTCACTGTCACACCAGTAAATTATGCAAAATGCAGGCCTTTCTTTGTGCTTGTCCTGTGAGACTGGCCATGGTAATTATGGCCATTCTGCAGTTGGGTAAAGGGATGCTGATTACAAAATCAGGCTTACCCAGCTTTGATGCTCCAGTACAAGCCCTTGGCTGGTGTTAAGACAAGGCTTGACAGGGCTGCACTCTGAGTAACAGGAAAAAATGGGGGAAAGTGACATGGGATGGGGGGAGAAAATAACATCCTTGTCCTGATATTTAGATTTATAAGTAGTGGCTTCAAAAACAATTCTCCCCCTACTAGTCTCAAGGATTTTCACAGTGATGCAATTTTGTAAAGACTTGATATTATTTTGTATAAAAAAGAAAATAATAATAAAATAAAATGGCTTTTCAAATTTTCAAAAAAACCTTCAATAGTTGCACCACAATACATCACACAAGACGCGACAAGCTGAACATTTTAAGCCCCAACAAAAGGGAAATTGAAAAGCACCAGGATTTCCCTGAGAGTTGCTTGATGCATATTGATTCAAAACAAAAACAAAACCCTTTTCAAGACCAACATTCTTCTTATAAGGAGAGAAATTCCTAATTCTACTCTAAATTGGGCTGGGGCTTCCAGGGGAAGCGAGAGACTCTGGTTGCCTTGGACAGCCCCTCTAAGAGACAGTAAAGAAGGTGGTGGTAGCATTTGAGAATTTGCCATGTGCAGCTCTCTTCTGTCCATTCCAATTTTTTCTCTCTTAAGGAATCCCACCTACAACGGCACACAGGTCCAGGCGGGGAGAGAAGGCTTGCTTCCTACGCTACAACAGCAGCAAGAATACTCATCGCAAAGTACTGGAAGACATAAGATCTACCCACCTTGGAAGAATGGCAGATGAAGGTGATAGACTATATGGGACTGGCAGAGATGACTGGCAGAATCCGAAACCAGGGAAGAGAGACAGCAGAAGAAGAATGGAAGAAATTCAAGGACTATCTTAAGAAATATTGTAAAATTAATGAATGTTAGAATGACGTTGGGTTAGAAAATATGTGGTTATCAGAGGTAATGGATAAGTAAAAAAAGAAAAGAAAGGTTAAAATTAAGTGAAAAACAAGGGAAGGATTTGCTGAATAATAAATTAGAAATTGGAATACAGAAAGGGGAGGTATGAGGAAGTCAGGGAAGTAAGTTATAAGAAAATAAGGGTTGAAATTATACTTGTTTTTTATTTTCTGTTTGTCTGTTTTACTGTACTGTTTTGTTTTGTTGTTATAAATTTTTTTGAAACTTTAATAAAAAAAATTATTTAAAAAAAAAAGAGAGAGAGAAGGCTTGCTTCCATGAATGCCACAAAGGACACCCAGCAGCAGATACCCATCATGGCAAGGATGTGAATGAGTGAGTGAGTAAGTGGCTGCTCTCTTCCTGAGATATATGAAGTCTTGTGGAGGCCAATGGTATGTGCATATGTGTGTGTGCAATGTGAGATAACCAGCCTCATATACCCAACATGATTAAGTCTAATTATTGCATGAAGGGGTTAAGAACATAGAGTAAACTGTCTATCAGGAAAGCTCAACATGTGAGGAGATCTGAGCTGGTTGTTGCAGCTCAGACTGCATGGCTCTTACAAGCCACTCTTGATTAATTTAGGAACTTTTACCACTTAGTAACTAAGCCAAGTCTCCTGGCCCTTGTGGATGAGCACATGAATGTGACCTTTAGAGAGTGTGTAAGTAAACCATTTTTAGCTTCTCAAATGTGTGAGAAGCTAGGGAAAGAGAGAAGTTTGGGAACTCTCAAGGGCATATGTTAAAGGTCTACAACCTTTATGTTTTTAAAATCTCTGCTGGGGTTCTTTCACCAAAGAGTACTAGTCCCAAACTTGGATCATGGCATCCAGGAATTCTACTTTCCCTACCTATATCTTCCCCCCTGAACGAACATGCAAATGAACACAACACCCCCAGTGTATTTGCCCACTGCTGCCAAGCAAAGACCAGCACTCCGACTTCCTATTTCTCCTCTTTGTTCAACAGTTCAGTTCCTTAGAGGGACCAAGCAGCTGAGAAATTTCTGTCCCCTCCCAAACCTTGGCCTCCCAAGACGGAAGAGGCTGACTAGCCTTCTGGCTTCCTCCAAACTAGGCCCATTTTCATGAGGTGGTTGAAGTAATATCCCAACACAACATTTTAAAAGAAGCATTTCTCATGCTCCCAAATGTCAAGATATTGTAACAATCCACAGGGAGCATTATATTCACAAAGAATGAAAGTAGAAATGCAGATGATAATCCACTCCTTCACACAAACCATTGAGGGGGCTAGAAACCCTTTAGGGCACAGTGTGAACATTTGTCCCAGCACCTCACCCTGAACACAACCAAAGAGGGAAGTGGGGGGAGGGGATGATGAAAGAATGAGAACTGCAGGAAGGGTCAACTCTGCCCACCTCCCTTTTAAAACAAAATCTAGAAATCCAAGTCCAGCAAAATGGCAGATAACTAACACACCAGTGCCTCTGAATCAGGCCGTGCAGAACTACAAAATCCATTGTTTGGAAAGAGAGGTTTTGAAAGCATCTCCAAGGAAACCAAGGGATGCCAAGACAGTGCAGAGAGTGAGATAAACCTATTCCTACTGCTGTCAGCACCTGTAGCTCAGGCTCACTCTTAAACAAGGTTATTTAAACTTGCCAGTTTCTGAGAACAGAACCTGCACAAACTCCATGGCTGTCCTGACTGTTTGCAGGCCAAATTTGCATAACCTTGCATCTTTTCCTTCTGCTGCCCATGATGGCCATCACCACCCCATGGGATTGTTCTCCAGAACAGGAACATCTTTCTCCTTGAGCAGGTATGAGGAGTCTGTGGTAAATAGCATTGCAGCCAAAATAAAAAATCATGGGTTGCTAGACAAACAAAGGGTTAAGACACATGGAGACAGGGCATTCTGTGAAGTCATATTGCCTGCTTTCCTAGGTGGGGGAAAGTAACAAAAGGAAAATAATCCTTACTACTTACTCCCTCCCAAAAGTTCAGGTTGTTGTTTTCCTTTACCACGTAACTAAAGAGAGGAATGCTTCTCTGTGCTTTCCTGAACAGATTCCATTATTTATCTCAACCATTTATTTTGTAATTGAAAAAATATATTCTGCCTGTCTTATTTCACTGCTGCTTACTGCTGAATCGAGTCTGAGACATTATGAAAGTAAACAATATTTTTATTCTTACATGACAGACTTCTGTGTTATTCTTTTGTTTATAGGGATAAAAGGGGGAAGGTCCAGTCAGCTAGAACACCCTGGACAATTATTAAGGTTAAGCAACCTTGTCCCAGAAGTTTCCACATTTTATACCACAAAGGGATGGTAATTTTAAACTCTGCTAACCAGACGATAAACTCACACAAGTGAGCACGAGGAAGGATAAATAATGAAGAATATCTCATCCTATGCTCCAAACCCATCCCACAGGCTTACTTTTGTTCAGGGATTATAAAGTTTGACTCAGCAAACTAGCAACCCATAATTTGTGGTTGCCACCAGTCGCCTCCCCACTGGTAGGCACGGAGAACAGGGTCACTTCTCATTTGTGTGGAGTATGGAAAAGGAAAGAGGGTCTGGTTGCTTTTCCCTGCTTAAAAACTGCAGAGGGAAGGAGACACCCAGGGCAGGAGGGGTCTGTATGGTTCTGGGAGGCCTCATCATCAGAGGATGGGGTGCACTGTCCCCTATCCCCCAAATCCACCCAATATTTCCAAATTACAACTCCCAGCATCCCTGCTTGCTGGAACTGATAGGAGTTGCAGTTCAGCAACATCTGAAGGGCCACAATTTCCCACCCCCATCATTGGAGGAAAGAAGCACAGCAGAAGAGGAACCACCAAGACAAACTCACCAAGGGATGAGAAAGGTGACCACTGGAGACACCAGGGCAGACCATTAGAGGTCACTAGAAGGGAAAAAGAAACTGCCCTGCATTCCTCAGCAGAATTTAGCATGAAATGAACTGGGAATGAAGCCAGCTCCCATTGGCGTGGGGCAAGCAGGGGACTCTGGGGAGAAGGATGTCAGACTCACCACACGGGAGGCACCACTTTTCTATTATACGTCCTCTCAACACATACCTCCACACACCTCCACAACAACAACGAAATAGAAGAGACCAAACAAGTAACAAATGAAAAGTTCTTGGGGTTATCCTTGTAAAAAATCACAGTTTGATTTGCATGGGGAGAAGGAATAAGTCAGCTGATAAAATTAATAAGAAGATAAAATTAATATAGAACCAGCCGGGGGACAAAGGAGCCCCCACAGAGACTCCTCTGCCTGGGCCACATGGACAGATGGAAGAGGGGCGAGGGGCTTGCTTCATTCCTTGGGGATCATGCCCTTGATAGCCGACTCCCGGTTGACGTACGTCGCCCAGTACACCATGTTGAAAATGGTGAACAAGACCGGAAAGACGATGCGGGACATTTTGTCTACCTTGCTGACACTGTTGTAGGTCTTCTTGTTCTCAGGGGGCTTCTCTTCCAACCGGGCCACCTTTGGGGGTGCAGCAGCAGCAGCAGCAGCAGCCGTGACAGGTGTGGCTGTAGTTGCTGATGCGCTCTTGGCAATGGTGGGCAGGCCTGGCTCCTTGGTGATGTTGAGGGCATACGTTGTGCCAACAATGTTGTAGGTGTTATTGGTCTTCTTTGCCAGCATGACGGGCTCTTTTTTCTGACAAGGAATGAAAAAGTCTTTGGAAACCAGCCCAGAAACAGCTCCCAGAAACACTTGCTACTGCAGAAATAAAAGGCTTGCAAAAAAACAAAAAAAAACAAAACAAACAACCAGATGAACTTGGTGCAATTCAAAAATGCACCACGTCAAACCTGGATCAGAGGGAAGGGGAGCATCTGCTTTGCATGCAGAAGGTCTCAGGTTCAATCCCCAATGGCATCTCCAGGCAGTGATGGGAGAGATCCCCAGCCTGATACCCTGAAGAGTATTGTCAGTGTATACAATGCTGAGTCAGATGAACCAACTGTCTGACTCAGTATAAAGCAGCTTCCAATGTTCCTAGAGTAAACCACGTTGTGAGCTGCAAATGCTACAAGTCCTTGCCAAACATGGCATCTCCAACAGGAAATTTATGGCCAGTGAAATCTCAAATCATGTACGTGTGCTGCCTCACACCACAGGGAATCTGCAGGTAGGGCTCTTCTCTTCTCCCCCTCCCCCCTTTTAGAACAGGAGCAGTATCTATGTGATTTCTCAACCCCTTTATACAGCAGGTCATCTGTGTAATTCCAGGTGACATTTAACACATTGCAGGGCTTGAGATCATCTCCACTGATGTGGGAAGCCAACTGGCCTTTCACAGGTGAAAAAATGCTTCTGGGTTATAGTTATTCTCAGAGCTCCTTTGGTGATGCGTAAAAGCCATACAGGATAAGCAAAGCGGGGATTAGGGGCAGCAGCAGCAATGGATTCCCTCTTTCTTTCTTTCTTTCTTTCTTTCTTCTTTCTTTCTTTCTTTCTTTCTTTCTTTCTTTCTCTCTCTCTCTCTCTCTCTCTCTCTCTCTCTCTCTCTCTCTCCCTCCCTCCCTCCCTCCCTCTTCCCCTCTCTGGGCTGCAAAACATTGATGTTTAGCTCTGTTTGGAGTAAGGCAGAGGTTCTCAAAATGTTGGGGGCCAATCCCCCCCTTGGTTCCATGATCTCACCCCTAGTGCCCCCTACCCTACAAAAGCACTATTCAGAATAGCAGTTTGCCTAACGCACTAAGGAAGATAACAACACCATATAAGACAAAACAGTGACAATTAATTGCACATTTATTCAAAATCCAATTAAAACCCTTTCACTTAATTAATTCAACAAAACTGATGAACTTGATCCAGTGATAGCAGCTTTCCAAAATCTGATAGTCATTTACTCCCCCTGCTACCCCCTAGGGAATCCCACCTCCCAGGCTGTGCTACCACCCACTTTGGGATCAACCAAAGTAAGGTTTCAATGCCTCTTCTTGTACGTCAAGTTCTGATTGCTTTCCCTCTTTGTTTCTCTCCTGCTCCCTCCAATGACTCCCTCTCTCACCTTCAATTCCTGGGCCTCCAGAACCTTCTTGCCATCCCAAGACCAGCTGCGTTTAGTGAAGTAGTTGACGGCAGCAAACTCAATCAGTGCAGAGAACACAAAGGCATAACAGACAGCCATGAACCAGTCCATGGCCGTTGCGTATGCCACTTTGGGCAAGGAGTTTCTTGCACTAATGCTCAGGGTGGTCATGGTCAGGACTGTGGTGACTCCTGTGGGAACAAAACCAGAAAAGGCGCTGCTGAAGTGGGGCCACAGGAGGTTTTCTCCCTCCTGAGGGCAGTGGGGGATCCATTGAACCTCCTTGGGCTGCTTTATCACAGCAGCCACTGCCCTAGATGCCCCAATAAAAGGTGGAAGGAGCCAGTGCCACACCTGAGCACAGTCCCATTTTCAACACCAGTGGAGCTATGTCTAATTATACAATTATGTTGCAGAATTAAATTAGCAAGACATTTAAAACAGGGCAACGGGGAACCTGTAAGGGCCCTCCAGGTGATGTTGGACTACAAATCCCATCATCATCACTATCCCTGACCACTAGCCACTATGGCTGCTGGGAGTTGGAGTGCAGCAGCATTGGTTAGCCCAGTGTTTCCCAACCTTGGGCCTCCAGCTGTTTTTGGACTACAACTCCCATCATCCCTAGCTAGCAAGACCAGTGGTTAGGGATGATGGGAATTGTAGTTCAAAAACAGCTGGAGGCCCAAGGTTGGGAAACACTGGGTTAGCCACCCCTGATTTAAAGAAGAGCTGGTTCAGCATCTTGTTGCCACAGCAGCCAACTGGATCCCTACCTGCAGTTCTCAGCAACTGATAATCAGAAGCACTACTGCCTCTGACAGTGGAGGGAGGACATAGCCATCATGGCTAGCAGATATTCCTGGGGGAAACCTCAGAGTTTAAGCCTTATGCAAATGTCTGTCATCAACATGAAGGGAGTGTGGCTGACAGGCAGGAAGGTCCCTGCTGCTGCTGCTGCTGCTTCTCTCCGGCACCAGTCTTGATGCTCTCCCCATCTCCCTGTTTCCTCCAGTCAGCCCTCAGACCATCCTCCATCAGAAACTCACCAAACACTGTCCGTGCTGGAACACTCTCTCTGTTGAGCCAGAAAGAGACTTGGGAGAGGATGACTGTCATGATGCAGGGTAAGTAGGTCTGGATCACAAAATACCCAATCTTACGCTTAAGGTGGAAGTAAGTGGTCATCACAATGTAGGTTCCTGCAGTGATATGGAGGGGTGGGGGGTAGAGAGGGATACAAGGGGTTTTTTATTTGCCTTTTTTCTTTTCTTTTTTTGCATCCTTGCCAGTAAACATGATTGTTGAGATACAGCCTGCAGTGGAAAGCAATCGTTTTTGTTTATATTTATTAAATTTGTCAAGGCAACTTACAACCAGACAAACAAACAAACAAACAAACAAACAAACACTCCACATAGATTAAACCCCACATACATTCAAAGCAAGGGGAGGGAATACATTTAAAGCATCCCACCCACATCTTAAAGGTCACAGATAGTTAAAGGCCAAAGGCCTGATTGAAGAGGAAAGTTTTTGCCTGGCGCCTGAAGATATGTAAGGAAGGAGGAAGGTGAGCCTCCCTGGGGAGAGTACTGCACAAGCAGGGAGCCACCACTGAAAAGGCCTGTTCTTGCACTGCCACCCTCCTCAGGGTTGGCCCACCCAGGAAGCAAGGTAAGGGGACCACCTTGAGGGGATCTACAGATCCGACCTCCAAGGAATGCATCACCAACTGCTGCCACCACCACTGCCTTTGCCACTGTGGCACCAATGGCTGTGGCATGCTCCTTGGAAGCTGGATCTGCTTCCTCCTTGGCAGCACCTTCCCCAATGCCACCTCTATAGTGGCCTATTTGTGAAAAGGAGGGGCTGCAAAACAATGCACATAAAAACTGACCCTGCAATTTTCACCTGAGAACATTCTCTGAGTGCCCCATCTTTGGGAGGTCCAGAGAGTAGGGACAGAAGAATTGGGAGTTTTCAGTTGTAGCCCCCCCCCACTTGTGCAATGCTATCCCCAGGGAGGATTACCTGATGCCATCATTACATAGCTTTAGGTGCTAGGCAAAAAAGCCCCGATTCCTCTTTTACCAGGGCTTGGGCTTTTTAGTATTGTAAGCCTCGTTAAACAAGTGAGATGTTTAGTCCTGCCTTTGCGGTTGCTGCTCATCATGGAGAATCATAGAATTGTAGAGTTGGAAGGGATGCCCAAGGGTCATGTAGTCCGACACCCTGCAGGAAACCATCCAAGGAGGCTCTCCATTACCTGTGCTGGATTCAATGGAGTCTCTCCCCACATTGTGGCCAAGGAGGTCGTACTGATTCAGGCGGGAGCCTTCTTCGGCCACCTCCACTTTCCCATGGGTCCAGGTATAGATCACCTCTGTCTTGGTGTAAGCATCTGTGGAGAAAGCAGAAAGGATGGGATGGAGGAGGTTTAGCTACACCCTGGCAGCTCCTGCCCAATGAGGAGCATCTCCAAAATGGTGCCAAGAATGGCTTCCAAAGGTCAACCCCAACTCCAGGAAAAGACACACCATTAGAAAGCTGTATCTGGCACAGAGATGCCTGACTGAAACCCTGCACTCCCTCAAGGTGTGGGAGGGAAGGAGGCTGCCACCTGAGATCTTCTACGCCCTGCAAAAGACCAGTGGTGGTTCCAGTGGCTTCCATTGGCCTCTCCAATAACCAGGCTACTGGACCACTAGAGATATTTCTGGACTGCAGCCCATGCTGAAGCATCAGTGGGCACTCAAGTTAGCCAAAGCAGGTGGAAAATAATAAGCCCACACTCAGAGGCTTGTCCCAGAAGGCAACCTCAGTGGGGCCCTGTAGGCACTGTGACAGCACCTCCTTTCCATGGGGCTCTGAAGCAGCAGAAGCAGCAATTGGATAGGACCTGCTGACTTGGGAGGTTCAGTTGTGCTGCTTATGTGTTGCTCCAATTAGACCTGGCTGCTCATGGCAGACAAACAGAGGCCACAAAAGCAGCCAGGTCTGTGGCCAAATGGGGACCCAAGAAGAGGCACCTAAGGCACCATGTCAAAGAGATACCAGATGTTTGCCAGGCTGGCCACACCTGTGGGAACCAGACTCTTGGCTCGACACACCACACAGTGAAGCTGGCAGTGGGGCACCTCTGTCTACTAAATATATTTCCTCTACTAAATATATTTCCACTGATTGAGCAGAGGGGAGCAGGGGGGGTCATAGGGCCACCAGGTCCAGGAGCTCTCAGATCCAGTATGGCAAAGCAACATTGATCCAATTTCCATATCATGTGCCAAGGAAATCTTCCCCTAGCTGGTTGATCAAATATTGATTTGGGTTCAATTTATTATCATTATCATTATCATTATCATTATTAAACAAAGCACAACATTTGCAGTTATTTGATGCTTTCCTTTAGACTGGTCTGTATGCATGTGAGCTTGTGATTTCCTATACTGCAGGGCATAGAGAGACATGTGAAATAATAGGGAGTGGGAAGCACTGTGGTCTAAACCACTGAGCGTCTTCGGCTTGCCAATCGGAAGGTCCGTGACTCGAATCCATGCGATGGGGTGAGCTCCCAATGTTCTGCCCCAGCTCCTGCCAACCTAGCAGTTCAAAAGCACACCAGTGCAAGTAGATAAATAGGTACCGCTGTGGCGGGAAGGTAAATGGTGTTTCTGTGCGCTTTGGTTTCCGTCATGGTATACCGTCGTACCAGAAGTGGTTTAGTCATGCTGGCCACATGACCCGGAAAACTGTCTGTGCTGTGGACAAACGCCGGCTCCCTCAGCCCGAAGCAAGATGAGCACTGCACCTCATAGTCGCCTTTGACTGGACTTAACCATCCAGGGGTCCTTTACCTTTACCATACCTTACACGTGAAATAAGTGTTTTAGATGATGATGAGTGGATTACAATAATTCAAAAATACAATATTAGAAAGAATTAAGACAATTAAGGGGAGCATGGTATTCTACAGGAAGGGGTTTTTCTAGAGACTGCTGTCCTACAATCAATTTTCACCCAATTCTGTATAAGATGGAGGTATAAACCTCAAAGTTCATTTATCTGTGAGGAAAAAAGTACCTTAAAATGACAGCTTCACTTTGGAAGGCCACTTTGAAAATAGAGGTTCATAGCAATGCAGGATGTCGCATAAGCTCACACTCTCAGGGATGTTTGCTTGCCTGATAGCTAGCCTGCCAAGGACCCATACCTGCTGCCTTCAAGCCAAGAATGCAAGGGCACTTTGCTTGTGCTGTCTGGAAAGTACTTACAGCTCCCAAACTTCAGTGGACAGGCATGCACGTCCATTGGGAAGTCCTCCAGGTGCATCGGACACTCCGCATGAATGGTCAATCTACAAGAAACAATGACCACTGCCAATGGAATATCCAGGTGTTAAACCCACTGTTGCCAACCCTGTTCTTCCACTGCAAGCAAGGAGTTTCCCTGTTGGATAATGGACATTTCCCGAGAGCGAGTTGTGCTCCTGTAGCCCACTGCTTTCTGAAATGATCACTGTAATCCAAATGCTCACATCCACACATTTCCATGGGGGAATTGCAATGCATACTCTCAAAGCTGCATAAGCAGCACATGCTTCTCCCAGTACAAAGGGAGACAAAGGCATTGCAGGATTGGGAGTCATTAAACTGCAAAAAAAATACCAATAACATTCTGCTGAAGCTTTATTCCTTGTGAGCTGGAGTGACAAGTCTTCCACAAGACCAAGGGAGGAGGAGATGGACTGAACCAGGGATTTTGAACAACATCCTGCAAATCATTAAGACCGTCAGTAAAATGAGAAAGTGCCTACTAAGTCAGGCCAACGGCTCATGTGATATGATTATGCTGACAGCTCAGACAGGGAAAGGCAGAGATCCCCACCCCCATCCCATTCTGCACTTCAGGTTCCTCTAAGCCGTCGGGATTGATCCAGTGGCTGCATACTTTATCATATCCTCCTCCTACCCCTGAGCTGTGGTCTCCAGAAAAGTTGCATGGCAGCTTCCCAGTGGAGCCTAACCTGCAGTGTCTGTGACACACTCAGGTTGGTTGTAGGGCTGTGAAGATGCTTGGGCAGCAGGAGATGCTAGTCAAGCTGCAGGAAGGCCAGAGGAAGATGCCCAAGGTGAACCCTCTGGTGCCCATTTCAGCTGAGAGGCTCAATCCCTTCCAGGAGGTGATGTAAGGAAGACATGCCTTTGGAAAGCAAAACCACCACCTACCTCATGGTGTAAAGGAGGGTACCATTGTCCACCAGTCGAAGAAGCTTGTTGGGTGTGGTCATGTTGTGAGCCACCGATTTCTTGCCATTGTGGAAAAAGGTGTCAGGTGTCCAGATCTTGCTGGCCAGCAGGTTGTTGAGGGGGAGGATCTTCATGGGGCCGTCAAACTTTAGCCTCTCATCTCGCCAGGACTGCCGGAAGAATACATCAATTGTGTACTCCTGCCAGAAGAGAAGATGCAGGTTTAGATTTTAAATAGTTATTTTACAGATGGTTCACTACATATGCAGAAATATTTCTAAAAAAATAAAATAAAATAAATCCTTGTTCCAGTGGACTTCACAAAGTTAAAATACTTTGGTCTTGAATGTTTTCAGCCAGGCAGATTCTTGTTCCATCTATCTATGGGGCAGGGGAGTTCCCTATCTTGTATACTTACCTACAGCAGAGTTAGATCCACAGGTGAAAGATATAAGAACATAAGGACATGAAAATATGAGAACTCTGCTGGATCAGGCCAAAGGGGGTCCCACCTAGTCCAGCATCCTGTTCTCACAGTGACCAACCAGATGCCGATTATGCAAGTGGGATCCAAGCACAAGAGCCCTCTCCCTGCCTGGGGTTTCCAGGGAGAGGGGGAGAGGGAGAGAGACAGAGAGATTCCTTTCCAGCATAATTGTTGTGGGGCTACTTTCTGCTAGAGGCCTGGGGGGGAACTGGGATAGTCCTTGGCATTCTGAGCCCACCAATGTGCTCACATCCTCCTCTTCCCACCGACATGGGAACCAGATGTGTGGTGAGGTCTGCCCTCAGCATTTCCACTACTTCTTTCCATTTGCCCCATAGTCTTCCCCCCTCTATACCTCTCCTCCAACATGCACTCATTCCCATCCTGCCAAGCTCTGCCTGCCTGCCCGCCTGCCTCCCTGCTGCTGCTGTGTCTGTCTCTAGTCTGCTCCTGGCAGCCACCTTTCCTCCCTGCTGCTAATCTTGGCTCTTCCTTTTTTGCCTTCTCAGCAATGCCCTAGCCTGCCTCCAGGAGGATGACATAGATCTGCTAGTGGAATTTAGTCAGATCTACAGATTAAGCTGCTTTCACAGGCCCTCCCCTCTATCCAGGAGTCTGGAATGCAGATGAGGGAAGGGGGTGCCACAGATCTCCAAGAAGACAATTCTACTCTGGAGGAAATAGTGGCAGTTAAAAGTGACACAACACAGTACTGTAGAAGGATCATCTACTGAGAGAAGGTGTGGACTCAGGAATAACGTAAGAAGAGCCTGCTGGATCAGGCCCATGGCCCATCAAGTCCAGCATCCTGTTCTCACAGTGGCCACCCAGATGTCATGCACACACTTCCCCTCTGTGGTTTCCAGCCACTGGTATTCAGAAGCATTACTGCCTCTGACCATGAAAGCACAGCCATCCTGGCTAATAGCCAATGATAGCTCTCTCCACCTTCATGAAAGTGTCTAATCTTCTTTTTAAAGCCTCCCAGGTTAGTGACCATCTTTGCCTCCTGTGAGAGTGAGTTTCATAGTTATGTGAAGGACTTTCTTTTAACCATCCTAAATCTTCTAATTTTCAGTTTCATTGGATGTCCAGGAGTTCTAGAGTTATGAGAGAGAGAAATTTTTCTCTGTGTACTTTCTCCATGCCATCATTTTATAAACTCCCATCATGTTGCCTCTTACTTGCCTTTTCCCTAAACTAAAAAGTCTTCTTTCTTCTTAGGGGAATTGCACCATTCTCTTGACCATTCTGGTGGCCCTTTTCTGAACCTTTTCCAACTCCATAATATCCTTTTAGAGGTAAAGCAAACAGATCTGTGCAAAGTACTCTAAATGTGGCCACACCATAGATATGCAAAATGGAGTTATGGTATTTGCAGTTTTATTTCCAGTTCCTTTTCTAATGAACCATAGCAAGGAATCTGCCTTTTTACACAGCTACATATAGAGAAGGAAGGGTGATTGCAATTCCCCTTTTCAAGTCAGGGCTCATCCTCACTTGCCTGTGCTCTTCATTTTTAAGCACATATCTGTGCTTTAAAACCCCCTTTCCTGCTGCTTTCTCTCTCTTTTGGGTCATGGTACTTTCCCCAAGAAAACCCACTCTTTACTGCTGAATCAGAGCAAACAGCAATCTGCGGGGTACCCGAATTGCCATTTGATCTGATTCAGCATAAAAGAGTAGGTTTTCCTGGGGGAAGTGGTGCGGCAAAAAACCCAAGCACTCGGACACAGACCAGGAAGGTGTGGACCTATGCCTAGAAAGCATGGGCAAGAAGGTAAGAGTGGATGAGCTCTTTAGTTAGAACTAAGGTGTTTGGTACTATGGTCCATAGCACCTTCTATAAAGATTGGAGTTGTTTCTGCAGACAGGGCATCACTGATTAATAGGCAAATATGTCTGATAAACCAGATACGGCTGAAAGTGGAAAACACACAGCTTAAACACACTCACACACACTTGAATAGGAGAAGTAAGTGGATGAATCATAATAAAAATTGGCCCTGAAACTGGAACTGTACATTCCACAAGCATTGCCTTCTTGAGCTGCAACCCAAAATAGGAGGTAAGGGAACACCCAGCTACTTAAAATGAATTTGAATCTCCAGGGCCTGATGAGCTTGCAGATGTACTGTAATCTCAGAGCCTCTGTCTATAATATTTGAGAATTACTGGAGAACAAGTGAGGTCCTTGCAAACTGGAGGCAAGCAAATGTTGTCTCCATCTTGAAAGCGGAGGGAGAGGACCCAGATAACTACTGACAGGTCAGCTTAACATCAGTTCCAGGAAAGGTCCAAGAACAGATAATTCAACCGTCAGTCTGTGACCACTTAGAAAAGGATGTTGTGATTACTAAGACTCAGCATGGGTTTGTCAAAAATAAATCATGCCAGATGAATTTCATTCTTTCTTTGATAGAGTTACAAGTTTAGTAGATCAGGGGAATGTGGTGGACATAGGGTATCTCAATTTCGGTAAGGCTTTTGATGAAGTCTCCTCTGCTTTCTTGTGCAGAAGCTGATAAAATGTGGGCTGGATGAGGTAGATTTGTAAAAGGCTGACTGACAGAACCCTAAGTGTTCATTATTGGTTCCTCATCATCCCAGAAAAAAGTGACAAGAGGGGTATCGCAGAGTTCTGACCCAGGCCTGCAGTAGTTCAATGTTTTTATAAATGTATTGGACAAAGGAATTGAAGGGAAGCTCATCAACTTTGCAGATGACACCAAATGGGAGGGCTAGCTAATGCCACAGAAGACAGAAATGGGATTCAATATGACATTAACAGATTTGAGAACTGGGCCCAAACTAACAAAATGAATTTCAGTTGGGACAAATGTCTGCTTCTACACTTAGGCAGAAAAAAAATGAGCTGCATAAATATAAGATGCAAGACACCAGGCTTGCCAGTTGTACATGTGAAAAGGACCTAGGGGTCTCAGTAGACCCCAAGGGTAACATGAGTCAATAGTGTGATGCAGCGGGGTGGGGTGGGGAACTAATGCTATTCTAGGCTATATCAACAGAAGTGTTGATCAAGGGAAGAAATAATACCAGTCTATTCTGCCCTTGTTGGACCAGACCTGAAATACTGAGTCCAGTTCTGAGTGCCACAATTTAAGAAAGATACAGACAAGCTAGAAAGTGTGCAGAAAGTGACCAAGATGATCAAGGGTCTGGAAACCAAGTCTCATGAGGAATGGTTGAGGGAGCTGGGCATGTTTAGCCAGGAAAAGAGGAGTCTGAGAGAAAATATGATAGCACTCTTCAAATATCTAAAGAGCTTTCCCATGGAAGATGCAGCAAGCTTGTTTTCTGCTCTGGAGGGTTCAAACCAATGGCTTCAAGTTACAAGAAAGCAGATTCAGGCTAAAAATCAGGAAGAACTTTTGACAGTATGAGCTTCTCGACAGTTGACTGGGAGATTGTGGATTCTCCTTCTACTGAGGTTTTTAAGCAGAGGTTGGATGGCCATCAGTCATGGATACTTCAGTTAAGATTGCTGCAATGCAGGGGGTTGGATTAGATGACCCTCAAGGTCTCTTCCAACTCTACAGTTGTATGAGTCTATTTTACTTATTTTAGGTGTTTTTACTTTACAGTGGCACCTCTGGTTGCGAACGGGATCCGTTCTGGAGGCCCATTCGCAACATGAATAGAACACAACCCGCAACAGCGCATCTGCACAGCGCGGGACGCGATTAGCTGCTTCTGCGCATGCGCGTGATGTCATTTTGTGCTTCTGCATATGCACAAGCAGTGAAACCCGGAAATAACCCTTTCTGGTACTTCTGGGTCACCGCGGGATGCAACCCGAAAAAACGTATCATGAAGCAGACGTAACATGAGGTATGACTGTATATGAATTAAAGAGGTTGGATAAAGTTTAAATGATCGTATTTTCCCTTTCACGTCTCCTCAAATCAAAAAGAATATAGAGAACTACTGTAAACAAAAGCACTGCCCTTTCCCTCTGCCTGTCCAGCTTTGGTCCTTGTGGCCTGCTTGTATCTCAAAAGAAGATTCTGGGATACAGTAATCTAGTAACACATGTGTATGCACAAAGTTGTATCAAGGCCCCACGACCTGCAAAAAGCAGTTAACTGAATACCATTCTTTTTTTGTGCAAATTATTTTAATTATTAGAATGCACATTAAAAAAAATACCCCCAAATAAAATGTTTTCGGTTGGTAGAACATGAGACTCTTAATCTCAAAGTCATGAGTTCAAGCCTTGTGTTGAGCAAAAGATTCCTGCATTGCAGGGGGTTGGACTAGATGACCCTCGTGGGTCCTTGCAACTCTGCAGTTCTATGATTCTTTGTGTGAGCATGAGAGAGCTGATCCCAACTCTCCTCTGAATTTCATACTCTTGCCCAACCCCTCCTCTCAGTTACACAAATACTGAAACTGAATAGGAAGGGTAGCAAAGTTCTTTCCAAGCACTCCAAGCACTCCCCCCCCCAATGATTCATCAGTGGTATCAAGGACCCAGCAACAAGTTCAGGCAAACAAAACCTTCAGCAGCAGTTTCTGTGGCAACGCTGGTGCAGCTGGTAAGTGCAGATGGTGCCCAAGACATGACCAGTAGTTGTTGTTGCTGCTGCTGCTTCCTCCTCCTCCCGATCCAGTGCTGCCCTACTCTTCCTCTTAACAGATGCTGGGCATTCTGCCCCCCCCCAGTTCCTTCCCCTTTGGAAGAATAGAAAC